AACAAACTTTTCCACTTGTTTACGTCATCCTACATGAACGTGAGTTCGTGGATCGTTTATACCGCAATCAAGTCGGTTATAAATTAACGCCATTACTAAATTATACCCAGTTTCTGGATTAATCTAGAAGTCGGGCCGCAGTCCGACGCGGCCGCTCTTACATTATTACAGCATTCATTAGAGTTCGCTAATTACTCCTTGCTTTAATGAATAAGCTCTAATGAACCACTTTCTGTTAATTAAAGGCGGCGTGGGTTGGGGCCGCGCGGGGGGGCCTGTACGGGGGGGAGCCGGGGGGGACTTCTCTCCGGGCTCTGATTGCAAATGTGAATTTGTGTAAGTCTGAGTGGAAAGAGTGTTTCAACTGAAAAGGGGTAATGAGGCGGTCGAAAGAAGCCGAATTAGTTGCAACTGCAACGCTGTATAAATTACAATTCAACGTCTAAATTGCTTACCTTACCTACACATAACAATGTATACAACAAAACCTAAAGATTCTTCGTCCTATATCAATTGTTTAGCTATAATTATAACTTTAAACAAAAAGTAAAGACCGACTTAAAATTGCAAAAAAAAAGAAGTTATTTATTTGCTACCCTTAGAGGTGTACTTTTATCTCCAAATTTATATGGGACCACCCTTGAAGTATATATAACCTATTTAATAAAATAAAAGAATCTAAATAAACATTTTGTTTTAATTTGTTCTACATTGTAATAGTAGTTTTTGATAACTACTATTGCAATTATTGAAATTAATACACACACACACACAGACACTCACGCCTGTCACCCAGAGGGGTAGGCAGAGACAACGGACTTCCATTTGGCGCCATCCTGATACACCTCTCTTGCCTCTTTTACATCCATATATCTACGCATACACGCTCGTCGGTTAAGGGTACTCCTAATCTGGCCCATTTTCAATGTAAAAAAATTTACTTCCCAAATATCCGCGTTATAAAATAAAATGATATGTCTTTCCTAGTATGAAGAGCACCTCCCGCCCTCCCTCAATTGCGTGCACTATCCCCGTCATCACTAATCACAGCACCGCTACTCCCAACACCACTACACTAGGCAAGACACACCACTGACGACAATACGACACGTGTTTCGCCTCTACATGAGGCATCCTCAGGTGATATAGACTCTAGGTGGCTAACCGCTAAGTGAGCGGCGAGCCAAAACAACTGGTATTTATACAGACCGCTGACGCAACCGCTCTCTACTTAAGGAGCGAGAGTGTTTTATTATTAGTGTGATTTTAGATTGTAATTAGTGTTGTGTAATTAAAGTGTTAATTTTGGTAATTCAATCGGCAGTTTTTAATTGTCTCGAACCACAAGCTTGTAACAATTGGTGTCAGAAGTGGGATCAAATATGCCGATTTTACCTAAAGACGACACGGAGGGTATCCGTACCCGAAGTCAACGCCAGCAGGAGACGGACCAGAGACGATTTGGTAATGCAACGCCGCAAACGTCGGAGGGCCAGCTGCTAACCACGGAGGCCGGCCCGTCAGCAGCTCCTGCATCTGCAGCACCTGACTTAGGTGCTCTGATGATGATGCTGCAGGATCAGGCTCGCCGACAGGAGGAACAGGCCCGCCGACAGGAGGAACAGGCCTGCCGACAGGAGGAACAGGCCCGCCGACAGGAGGAACAGATCCGTCGGTTGGAAGAGCAGCTGCAGCGCGGTATGGAAGAACAGATGCTCCTCAAGAAGGACCTTCACGCTACCTTCGGAAAAGAGATAAAAGAGGTGAAGGATAGGGTTGCTCAACATGACAACCGCCTGTCGGAAGCTGAAACCCGAATCGACCAAGTGAACAATCGGGTTGACAACGTGATGGCTGATGTGAAGAAAACGCTAGACGACCTCAAACTTGGGGATGGAATTACAGCTCCCGTAGTAGCTACAACACCTTCGCTACGTGGATTCAAAGTGCCGCCGTTCGACGGGAGTTCTTCCTGGTCGGCCTACAAAATCCAGTTCGAGGCTGTCATGAAAGCGAACGGCTGGAATAAAAGTCAAGCCATGACTGCTCTCACCCTAGGCCTACGCGACCAGGCATTAACTGTTCTGGAAGCTCTCGGTAAGGAAGTGACTTACGAGCAGCTCCTTGAGGCATTGGAGATATGGCGATGCTCACATGGAACACGTCTTTCGTGCGCAGCTCAAAGATCGCGTGCAACGCAGTAACGAAAACCTGCAGCAGTGGGCCCTTAAGGTGGAGAAGCTGGTTCGAAAAGCGTACCAGTCTGTACCTGCGCTCATTGTAGGGAACCTGGTGCAGACATTCATCGACGGCATCCGCGACCTTGAAGTCAGAGCTGCTGTGAGGCTGGGGCACCACGAGACGCTTAAGGATGCCTTGGCCCATGCACTGGAGGTGGAAGCCGTGCGGCAGGATCATCGTTCCCACCACGTCAGGGAGGTTGCAGCAGCTACAGTTCAGGACCGCAATAAGGGCTACAGCCCTAGGTGCTACGGCTGTGGGGAAAGGGGCCATCTTCGATCCAGCTGCCCTAAACGAACTGTAGAAAGGGAAGGTGATCGATATCGAGACGGTAGTGTGGCTGACAGCACCGCCCAGCAGCAGCAGGGAAACTGGCAGGTGCTGGCTGATGTTAAAAGAACCCCAAGGATTTCGATCTCACAAACCCGTGATGGAAACAGCCTGATCATCAAGGGCGAGGTCAACGGAAAGCCGTGTAAACTGACCATAGACACTGGAGCCTCTCGCACGGTTGTCAGTTCCCAACTTATAAATCAGTTTCTTGGGGACTCCGCATACAACCGCGAACGCATTAATTTGGTGACAGCCACCGGTCAGCGCATACCCGTCCGTGGAGAGAAGGAGATGGAGTTGAAGCTAGGCAGCATGATCTACCTGCATAATGTCATCGTAGCTGATATAATGGACGACTGCATCCTGGGCCTAGACTTTATGAGGAAGAATTGTTGTGAGATCGACGTTAAGCAAGGTGTTTTGAAATGTGGACAAGAGGAACTTTTCGTGGAAGGGGCGTTACCAGGGAATGTGTACAGCCTTAAGAAGATTGTTCATCCGCCGAGATCGGAAACGATTGTGCCGGTTAGTCTTCCTCGGAGTCCTGGGCAAGCTCATCGTTGTGTACTCGTGGAAAGGGTAGACAATGACCTTCCATGGAAAGTGGCTCGAACCTTGGTTAGAACCACCGACATATCAGGAGTACGTGTGTTGAACCTTTGTGATCAGGAACAGATTATAGAAAAAGGCACATTGGTTGGTACTAGTGAGAAAGTGGATTGGTTGCGTCGGTGCGAATATCTATCGACCGGGACCCCCAGCAAGGATGGACAAACGAGAGTGATCACACTTTTAGAAGACTGTCGCAGCGTTCTTTCCCCGAATGAAATGGTCAAGGCGAAGAAGTTGTTACTCAAGTACGCCAATGTTTTCTCGTCAAACGAAGCTGACATAGGAAAGACTGGCTTAGTTCAACACAAAATAGACACAGGACAAGAATTGCCTATTCGTCAGCGCCCAAGAAGATTGCCTGTAGCACGTGAAAAGGAAGTGGAAACCATGATTGAGGGAATGGTGAAGGATGGTGTTATTGAACCTTCATCTAGTCCATGGTGTTCACCTGTGGTGCTGGTAAAGAAGAAGGACGGCAGCATGCGGTTTTGTGTTGACTACCGCCGCCTGAACGACGTTACAAAGAAGGACAGCTATCCCTTGCCAAGAATTGATGACACGATGGACATGCTTACAGGCGTAAAGTGGTTTAGTACGCTGGATCTGAAAAGTGGCTACTGGCAGGTTGAAATTGACCCTAAGGACAAGGAGAAAACTGCATTCTCCACAGGAAAGGGTCTGTGGCAATTTAAAGTCATGCCGTTTGGATTGTGCAATGCTCCAGCAACGTTTGAAAGGTTGATGGAGCAAGCTCCATCAACCTTTCAAACGTAAGCACAAGTACTTACCGGGCTACTTGGAGATGCCTGTCTGGTCTATTTGGATGACATCATCATCGTAGGCCGTACGTTTGAGGAACACCTTCAAAACCTGGAACGTGTGCTCACAAAGATCCAGAGTGCCAACCTCAAGTTGAGTCCGAAGAAGTGCTCACTATTCAAACGGAAAGTTAGTTTTTTGGGGTATGTAGTGTCGGAAGAAGGTATCCGCACGGATCCAGAGAAAATTGCCGCTGTCAAGGATTGGCCGGTTCCAAAAGACAAGACACAGGTTAGAGCATTTTTGGGTTTGTGCTCTTATTATCGGCGATTTGTGAAGAACTTTGCAGATATAGCCAAACCTCTGCACAAGCTAACCGAGGAGAAGCGACATTTCTGCTGGGATGAAAGTTGCGATATTGCATTCCAGGAGCTCAAGAACCGTCTGTGCAAAACGCCTATTTTGGGGTACCCTGATGCGGGCAAGGAATTCATAGTTGACACAGACGCAAGTGATATAGGACTTGGCGGTGTGTTGTCTCAACGGAATGGTGATCAAGAGATTGTGATAGCGTACTTCAGCAAGTCGTTGTCAAAGCCGGAAAGGAACTATTGTGTCACAAGACGGGAATTGCTTGCTGTGGTAAAGTCCTTGCAGCATTTTAGCAAATATCTTCTAGGGCGGAAATTCCACTTACGAACTGACCATGCTGCACTGAAATAGCTATTGCAGTTCAAAAATCCGGAAGGACAAGTTGCGAGATGGATTGAACTACTGCAGGAATACGACTTTGTGATCGAACATCGCAGCGGGAAATCTCATGGCAATGCAGATGCATTGTCAAGAAGACCTTGCCCTGAAGATTGCAAGCATTGTACTAGGCAAGAGGGTAAGGAAGTGGTATCTGTGAGAATGCTCAGGACAGACCAGCTCAGGAATGAGTGGAAGGACAGCCATGCACATGACATGCACAGCAGGTAGATTCGGACATTAAGCCGATTCTGGAATGGATAAAGGCCAGTGCTCCTAAGCCCAAGTGAAGCGACGTCTCAGCAATGAGTTCGACCACGAAAAGCTATTGGGCCCAATGGGACAGCTTGCTGATTCAGGATGGAGTCCTGTGCCGTAAATGGGAAAATGGTCGGGGAGACAGTTGTCATTTGCAAATGGTTGTCCCTAAGGCTAAAGTACCGGATGTTCTACAGCTGTACCATAGTGGTTGTTCAGGAGGCCACCTGGGAGTTAAACGAACTCTACTGAAGATCCGAGAACGGTTTTACTGGGTCCACTGTCGTGACGATGTCGAGGACTGGTGCCGCAAATGTAAAAGTTGCGCGGCTGTAAAGGGACCTCAAATTCGTAGTAGAGGCGCATTAAAATTGTACAATGTTGGTGCACCATGGGAGAGGATAGCCATTGACGTTGCGGGGCCGTTTCCGGAAAGTGAAAGTGGTAACAAGTATTTCATGGTTGTGATGGATTACTTCACTAAGTGGCCAGAAGTCTTCGCCATTCCAAATCAAGAAGCTTCAACAGTTGCAGATAAACTAGTTCATGAAGTCTTCTGTCGTTTTGGAGTACCCTTAGAGATTCACAGCGATCAAGGAAGGAATTTTGAGTCTCAAATATTCCAGGAAACTTGCAGAGTTATGGGTACTCATAAAACACGAACAACTTCTTACCACCCACAATCTGATGGAATGGTAGAACGATTTAATCAGACATTGGAAAGGTACCTGGCAAAAGTTGTGGAAAAACGGCAACGAGACTGGGACAGGCACATACAACCGTTTTTGTTGTCATATCGAAGCGCTGATCACGAAAGTACGCCAGCTTTCGCAAACTTTGGGAGAGAATTACGGCTGCCTGCAGACCTGATCACCGGAATACCACCTGATGCCCCACGCAGTATAACCGATTATGCAAATGACTTGCGGAACAAAATGAATGACATTTATGAGCACGTCAGACAGACGGGCCAGCAAACGTCTGAGAAGATGAAAATCGGTATGACCGCAAAATGAACAACAAGGGGTTTGATGAAGGTTCACTAGTGTGGTTACACAATCTAGTTCGCAGCAAAGGGAAATCTCCTAAGCTTCAAGCTAAATGGGACGGACCGTACCGGATTGTGACAAGGATCAATGATGTAACCTACCGGATACAGAAAGGTGCCAGAGGTACTCCTAAGATTGTCCATGTGGATCGACTGGCGCGTTATTACGGGGCCAGTAATGCTCGGGACGGGCATGTCTTAGGAGGGGGCAGTGTTGCGCGCCACTATTAATGTCTTGTACATGGCAACATTAGTTACACTAGCGCCCTCTAGTGTCGAGTAGCAGAACTAGGAGAGTCGAGATCCTTCCAGAAATTTTGGGATCGATATGTACTCGAACATTCTAGATGTCGCTACAGTAGAAGGTTCTGGAAACTATCTGAGGCCCTATATAAGGCCGGTATAGACCACGACCGGGGCAGTATTGAATTGGCGATACAAGAGAATACTTCGAAGCGAAATAACGGCGAACTGTGTTTTATTATTAGTGTGATTTTAGATTGTAATTAGTGTTGTGTAATTAAAGTGTCAATTTTGGTAATTCAATCGGCAGTTTTTAATTGTCTCGAACCACAAGCTTGTAACACTATTATTACTTTTTAATATCTCTAACTGTTCCAGCACATACAGCCGCAGCCCTTTATTACACGTATGTAAGACTTTAAAGGAGTGGCCGTTGGCCAGGTTGCGTTCAGTGTCCAAAAGATGTTTGGCGAAATGGGATTTATCGGGATTGCAATTCCTGTACGCGGCTAAATGCTCTTTATAACGTGTCTCGAAATTGCGACCAGTCTGATCCACGTAAAGGGCGTGGCATTCATCACAAACAAGTTTGTAAACACCTGATTTTTGACGAATATCCAACTTATCTTTATTATTACAGATATTTCTAAGAGAATTGTTTGTTTTGGACGCCACATAAATGCCGTTTTGTCGAAGAGTATAAGCTACTTTTTCAGATATGGGGCCTAAGTAGGTCAAACTGCTCACATATCGATGAACACTTTGAGGTTGAACCGCGTACAGAGAGTTGCGAACAACATGCTATTGTTTCTTTTTAATTAAATTGTTAATGAGATTTTTTGAAAAACCGTTAGAGACCGCTATTTGATAAATTATATTAAGTTCTTTTAAAAAACAACAACTCGGCCGCCGACGATGCAAATATGACTTGATCACCGGCGTACAAAAGGCATTTGACGGTTAACTTATCTATTCTCAACCCACATTCTTCAACTTTCAAAGTTTGCAAACAACTGTCCATAAATAGGTTAAGCAGCCACGGGGAAGCTACACAGCCCTGTCTGACACCTTTTTGAATGCCAAACCCGTCCGAGTAGACGCCGTTGATCCTGACACAAGCACTAGAGTCCCAAAGTCCCAAAGAAACCTTAATGCCTGTATCAAACCAGCGCTCAACCCAAATGAGTTCAGTGTTTGCCATAACACATTCCTGTCTACTTTGTCATAAGACTTTTCCAAGTCCATGAATGCACAAAAAACTTTCTGGTTTTTGGCCAAAAACTTCTCCGCAACCATGCGCATGGAAAAGACTTGATCCGTACACCCCATCTCCTTTCTAAGTCCAGCTTGCACATCCAATTTTTTTCTATCAGTTTCTTCCATAACTCTTTCTATTAACACCTTAGCATACAATTTACCCACAATGCTAAGCAAGCTGATACTACGGTAGTTTTTACAGTCCTGCTGTGACCCCTTTCCCTTATATATTGGGACTATAACGGCTTTGCACCAGTCTTCCGGTACCCGCTTCAGTTCCCAACATAAATTAAACAAGGTGTACAGCAGGCCTGCAACCATACCCTCCCCAGCCCAGCATTTCGAGTGATACTCTATCATATCCGGTTGCCTTTCCTGCTTTCATGCTCTTCATTGCTTTCATTATTTCATCTACACTTATCTCCCTACCTCTCTCCACTTCTTTCGGAATTTCTATTTCACTTAATTCAGACAACTCTTCACTCTTAAACACGATTTCAAAGTATTCCTTCCATCTCTTTAAATTCGAAACTTCATCATTCAGCATGCAGCCATTCCCGTCTCGTATAGCATTCATTCTAGGCTGTTTTGAATTTCCCCTGGCAGTTCTTACGAGTTTCCAGAACATTTTAATATTTGCCTGGAAGTTATAGATAGATAGATAGATAGATAGATAAAGCATTTATTTGTTTCTCCAATCACACACGTAAATTCAGTAACTAAGCTAAGTACAAAGTAACATATAACGAAAAAAAAATAATTTACAAAAACTTAAAATCTAAATGTACATGTGTGTTGCAGTTTGACAAATGGGTCCTAGCTCAGCGATTAATATTGTTCAGAGAGCAAACACTGATTTTCAGCTATTACCCTCGAGATGACGAGAAGAAAATGAGCACAATAGTTAATCAGTGTAAATATGTATATTTGAAAGATGTGTCCTTTCAGCCCTACGATTTGCATCCTGGGTTTAATTTAGTAAAATTACTGAAGGGGCGTGTGTGTAAGTTTGCGTACAAATTAAAAGTAGTACCTAAAAGGCTTAGACAGCCATGATGAGTTAGTAGGAACAAAAAATGCCGTGGTTTATAGCTGGCAAACAAAGTGTTTGGGAATACCTTGTTTTTGTTTATCTAGAAGATATGTTTTGAAGTTATCAAATATCCTTCAATCATTCTTATCCATCCTTTCTTGCTTTTTCCTTTCAACAACTTCTTTTACTCGCTTATTTATACGTCTAAGGTCTGCTTTTTTTCTTTCAATCTCATCATTCATACTGCCAGCATTACCAGCTTTGGTTGCTAGTAAATCCAGCCAGGCTCTCTTCTTTGCTTGAACTTCCATCCGTACCTCATCATCCCACCACAACGTATTACTTTTCCTTTCATTCGTTCTCTTACTTACTTCACATACTTCGGTGGCTGCATCCACCAAAACTTTCTTAACATTATTCCATACAGTCTTCAAGTTTAAGTCATTCATGCATAATTCATTCAAACCACTTATATTTTCCCTCAGTCTACATTTATACTTCTCTTTCACACCTTCATCTTGTATCCTCTCTATTCTTATAAGCTCTAACGCAGTGGTAGACACAGATGTCCGATGCCGCCAACGCCTGAATAGACCATTAATTCCGCAAAAGACCAAGTAATGATCCGTCTCTACGTTGAACCCTCGGTAAACCCTTGTATCTACCACTGCGCTCATTCTTTTATCCACAATTATGAAATCTATCATGCTTCTATCATCCCCTCTTTCCTATGTATACATGTAAATCCTCTTATGGCGAAAGAAAGTGTTCGTCACAAAAAGATTTTTTTCCACACATACGGTGAGGTCTTCACCATTCTCATTTATACTTTCATCGCCAAACGTTCCTAATATCCTTTCATAACCAGACCTCCTCACCCCAACCCTTCCATTAAAATCTCCTAACATAATAATATTTTCATTTTCCTTACATTTCATCAACACCAGCCTTAGCATGTCCCAAAACTGCTCTCGAATATAAGTGGGCTTGGACATATCTGGGGCGTACACCCCTAGCACAAACAACTTCTTTAAGCCCACTTTCATTCGTATCCACAGCAGCCTTGGGCTTACACATTCATACTCTTTCACACATTGACCCATTCTTTCTGAAAAGATGACACCGACTCCCTGGCATGCCCGCTCGGTCTCATCTACACCAGACCAGTAAGCTGTATACATGCCATGTGCAGTGACATCTCTTCCCTTTCGTTTCGTCTCATTTACACATAACACATCTATTCCTCTATCATTCATCATTTCGCATACTTCATCCATCTTATCATTCATTGCTCCACATACATTCAGCGTAGCCAGACGGGCCTCCGCAATCCACTTTTCGCCCCTCTGGGAGACAGGACGTGACGGGTGGCGAACCTCGTCGCCGGTTTTTCTCCCGGAGATTCTTCGCACTCCTGCCCCATTAAAGGGGCGCCGGGAACTCGGGGCCATTCCTTTTACTTGTTGGCTCATGGTGTGAACTAAGGGGGTGGTAGATTTTACGCCGCTACCATACGGCGAGGAGCTGAATCTATCCTATCGGCTTTGTCGCTCGTTTAGCACCACCCGGGGGACACGTGTAGAGTGGGCCTAGTGTTATGTGGTCGAAGCCTACGGTCGCGAGCGACTCATCCCCCAAATATTTTTTTGAAATTAATATTCTAATTAATATAGAATGATAAATAATATTTCTTACCCGCCACTACACGGGGCCAATACCCACTACTCAATATATTCTCGTGGGTGTCGCAAGAGGCGACAGAGGAAAACTGAGGCAGAAGATGGGCAGCAGCATCTTTCTGATAACAGCAAAAGAACAATAAAAAACTGCGGTTGCAAACCTGCTCGCCAAGCGTGGCAACTATGGCAATATATCCCCCATGATTACAGTTACGAAGAGATGGCCCCTAGTCCTCGGCGATCCCGCTATTCCTGACTACGGTGGCGAGCATGGTAACGGCGGGACAGGGGGTTCTAAGAATGTCCGGTAGAGGTTCGGTTGCCACCTAAGACGACTCGATCTGGCAACATTTAACACACGCTCTCTGAGGACTGACGAGAAGATGCTAGAGCTGGAAGAAGAGGTAGACAAGTTGCGCTAGAATATTATAGGATTATCTGAGGTCCGAAGAGAGGGTAGAGAGATATTGCTTAAATCCGGCAACTTGTTCTATCACCGTGAGGGCGACCATCTGTCTCAAGGAGGTGTCGGATTTATCGTTCACAAGTCTCTCGTTAACAACGTTGTAAAGATTGAGTGTGTAGAGGGTTGCGTACCTTATACTCAGAATTAACAAACGGTATTCGCTGAAGGTCATGCAGGTTTACGCACCAACCTCGGCACATCCCGATGAGGAGGTGGAGGAAATGTATGAGGATATATCTAGAGCCATGCATTCCTCCAAAAGCAACTATATGGTGTTAATGGGAGACTTC